GACGCATCGGAGGAGTCTTCCGTTTTGGACGTCCTTCGTCGCGGCGCTGTGACGTATGCGGCCGACAAATTCGACCTTCGGAGGACCCGTCCTGCCGTTTTGGACACAGCCTCAGACTGAGGACCTATCCACGTCAACATTTACCCAGAATGCTTTGTGTGTAAATAAAATCGCTCCGTCCGTGTTAAAATATATTTTTAAAAATTTACAAAACTAAACATCCAACAGTATTTTTACAGTCTTTATTTTACAGCTAAAATAAATGTTTATCAAATAAAGTCTTACGTTACAACTAACCGTGGATCCCTTTAATAGYCACATAGATACACACAGTCAAAAACATGGTCTTACCTGTGACAGCTGGCTGGCTTTGTARGCTGCCAGTGCCTTTAAATACTCTTTTTTGGCTGCCTCTGTTTTCCTCTTGTACACCTACAGGAAACAAACCCATAACCTCTGTTAACAGYATAGTTTCTGAATCCTTTGCCTCATTTCTTTACGTCTGTAAAAACACTGGACCTGTTTCTGTTCCTCTGCCAGGCTGTCCCACATGGATGCTACGATCTTTGACACCTCCCCAAATGAGGCGTTTGGGTTCTGGCCTTTAATGGCCACCTGGGTGTCTCTGAAGAACAGTGCGTATGCTGAAACTGGCTTCTGGGGCTCGTTAGGGTCCTTCTTCTTCTTTCCTTTCTTCACACCCACCGCATCAGCTGCACATGTCAGCGTAGCGGGCTTTCCCCCACCCCTCCTGGCTGTAGCCAGGGAGGATGAGGGAGCTGGGTGGGAGGACATGTTGGAGAAGAAGGAMGAAGAGGAGAGAGACATGGTGGAGTCATCCAACACACTTCTCTGTGGGTAGAGAAAGTGAAACAAACAGGAGAGGAGGAGGAGTTAAATAATCRCAAAGATAAAAGCAAACAGTTTTCACATCCAGGCATTCGGCTTCAGGTTCGTAGAGAGACGGGCCGGACAACGATGGATGTTTTGTTCATGAGCTCCTCCTCACCTTAAAGTCCTCCATGTCCTCGTCCTGCAGGGAACCAACAGGAGATGGTGTTGCAGACAGCGGCTGCTCAGGTGCTCCAGAGTTTCCAGAACCCAGACCCAGAGCCAGTTCTGACGGGTTAATTGTGGCGAGCTGACCGCTTCCCAAAAGGTCCTGACCCATGTTACAGAGCTGGACATCAATGGTCATCGGGGATGAGCTGGTGAAATGRGAACCAGTGGAATTTCCCATTTCCTGTGGAGAGATCAGAGCATGAAATACTTCAAAAAACTCAAAAAGTCATATCATTGAACTGGTTATTTTTTTTCTTACAGAAATACTTATTGTGGTTTTTCTTCGGGGGTTGCCAACATACCAATAAACCCACTATCCCTACAGAAAGTGTATTTAGGATTCAATTTATTAGAACCATTAGTCCCTCTTAATTAAAAAATACATAACTATATATA